CTGCTGAGTTTCTTGCTTTCTTCCTTTCTTTATCTAATCTCAACTTTCTCTTCATCATGCCATTATCATATGCATCACAAAATAAATATTAATAATAAGATAAGAAAAAGTAAGTTGAAGAATCAATATCAAAATACGACGCCATACAATCATGATTCCCAACAGGCGCTTTTCAGCAGAAAAGAAAATTGCTTGTGAAACTCATTGGGGCAGGAAAGCAAAAGAGAAAAATATATTTTTCTCCTCCGTAGGTTTCAATTGTAGTTTAATATTGGTATTTTCTTTTTGTTTCTATTATTAAAACGACAGGTGAAAAAGGACACAACATCAATCTTTCCAACATATTTTTCCCAGCAAGTTTTTTTTTTCTCACAAATATTTAAAGGTATAGAAGACATTCAGCATTTCAATATTTTTGCTAAGTTAAGGTATGTTTATTTTCCTTCAAGATTAATTTTAATTTCCATCTATAGGTGAACTAATCAATAAAAGCATTTTAATTTAAAATAAAACTCTGTTTTTACTTGATACATAACAAAAAATAAAATGGATGGTAGTAATGATGCGTTAGCCCAGGCTATCATAGAACAAGAACAAATGAAGCGCGATGGTGTTAAGGCATTTATTGAAGATGTTAGTCAAGGACTTTTACGAAATGATAGCTGGGATACATTTAAACCCGATGAAATAGCTGAAGCATCACTTCAAGTTGCAGCTGGAAAAACTGATTCTTCTACTGAAGATAAACAAACTCATCGTTTTCGACAGTTTTTATCTATTGCAACCAATTTCTCATCGTTACCATTTGCTCAAAAACTACACAAAATCCCAGAATTAGTAGAAAGTATTAAAGAATTACTTGAAAATATGATGAAAGAAGTTCAAGAATATAGCGATATGGCAAATGAACTTCGTGATCTCATTCAATGTTTTGTTCGGATGGTAACACAAGCAAAACATAACGTCAATATGATGCTTCCGCTACTTAAAGCTGCTAAATCACAAATGGGAATCGTTCAAGATGTCATGAGTACGGATCCAAGTAAAACACTTAATGGTATAGATAAAAGAGATATTCATCTTGCTTTGAATCGAATGTCAAGTGGAATACAAAGTTTACTCGACTTAGCTAAATCAGCAACAGCTGAAAGCCAAAAACTAGACGACCGTATACATAATATGACTAATTCAGTTCAATCGAAAAAAGTCACTGTCGAGGAACGATTGGACGTAGCAAATTTTTGTTTCAAATGTGCTGTACCAGTCAGTACGATTACATCTGGTGCTGCAGTTGGAGGACTTGTTGCAGCTGAATTATTTGGTGGTGTTGGCGCATTAATTATTGCTGGAACAGCTTTTCCTCCTATTACCGCTATCATTAGTGCGTGTATCTTAGGTGGAGCTTGCGCTGGAACGGTCATTCTTTTGGTAAAAAAGTTTTGGGCTCGTCACCAATTAAAGGCCCTTAACTATCTTAACCAAATATTTGAAGGTTTAGTTGAATTAAGTTCAGCAAATGCACATTTCATGCGTTATATGGCGGATACGGAAGAAAAAGCAAATACAGTTTCACAACATATTCAAGATATTCAACTATGTTTAGAAAGTGAAAGACAACGACGAGCAAATCATAATGTCTGCGATGTAGCTATAGATTCAACAACGTCTATGATAGAAAGTCTTGAACGAATATCTAATTTAGATATATCAAAATGGAGTGATACTTCAAATGTGATCAGTTTTTCGAAAACAAAAATGATAACATATGCTATCACAAAATAATCAATGGAATCGACAAACCGAATATAACAGTTATCTCTATAATATTATTTTATGTATTTAATCACGAAGTTCTAGTGTGCTTTACTAAATTGATAATTATTTATATCTATTCTCAGAAAACTGTACTACTTTAAATAAATCCAAAATTCTTTTCTCATGAATTTTTCTCAGCAATTATATAATAACTACTTTCTCTTATAATAGCAAAATAATCTGCTCAGTCTATACTGTCTGTTATGAATTTCATCATAGTCTATTAGATTGACCAATACTTATATAAACGAATCGTTTACTTGCTATGTATGAAGCGAATACCTAAATTTCAAAAAAATCTATATTTGTGACAGATCCAATCGACGAATTCACACATAAGCTTTATGCATAAAGTGGGAAACGAACACTTGATCAAACAAACACTTGCACACTAAGTATAAATTACAATAACTGGTTTGAACTTCGACTATTATTTTCCTAAAATGTGATACTATGAGTTATTCGATGATATTTTTATGGAACAGTAGAAACGTCGATGTTTGTGGAAGTTGGTTGAATCCTATCTTTTTTTGTTGTCAATAAGTAGGATTTCGTTTTAGATTATGACTACTTGGTCACTGTATAAACATCTCATTTGATGCACTGATATTTGTTTGTGCTAATATATTATGTACATTTCTTCGATTCTGCTCTGATTCTTCATAAAATTTCTGAGTTACACCACATAGTGGAGGATGTGCGTGTGAGTGTTGAGTTAGACATCATCGATAGCATCATTAAAAAACAGCTGACGAACAACGAAGATACCTCATCGTCAATTCCCGGGAAATGCATTGTTTCGACCTTTTTTGTTCAATCTTTTCTATGGTTGTTTTGTTCATTTTTAACATAGAAACAAGTTATAATAAGAGTTGGTGCATGTTCTCAAAGCGGGTTAAATCCTCTGTCACCCTGTATTATTGTCGTTCTTGACTTGTTCCTTATCTGATGAGTAAAGAAGGATAAAAAAAATTGAACGAAAAAGGACACAATAATGAATTTCCATGGAATCTGATAATGAGGTTCTTCATTTGATTTTCTATAAGCAAGTGCAATTTAAATTGAACACATTTAGAGTTGTAGAAAACACCACGTGACATATTATTTTTCTCAAAAAATGTCAATTTATAGTAACAATATGCTAAAAAATATCGAGTTAAGATATTTTTTTTCAGAAGATCTATAAAGATTTCGAACTTGAATAATATCTAACCAATCACACTCCGCCGTACTTCCATATATATACATCACTTTCATGATATATTTTCTGGTTAAATCTAAATGTTAATGTAACTCTTTTTAACCCTTGACCTCCAACAGCGGTTCCAGTAGAGACACCGATAAAATAACTAGTCTACCTAGTATGATAATTATGTGGTCTGATCCACCGAATCTCTATCTCCTTGCGTAGTGCCATTTAATTGGTCGGTTACCTGTGTGATGGAACAACTTGTTAAGCGTTGATTTGTTTTTCTTGAATCACATTTTTGAATGAGCAAAAGTAGCATACATCCTATCTTATTGGAGTAATGGAAAACGGAAGGAATAAAACGATAAAAATTAATGTCAAATGAATGCATTCGGTTTTAGCACATTTTCTTAAATAGGTATCTACCGTTTAATATTTTCTGAAGGCATTCAATTCAAAATAAATGCTATTCTAACTTGTCATTAGCTGAGATTTATAGTACATGTATTACCATTTCTTTTGATTATCCTAAAGATGGTTCATAATGGCTCCTCGGTCACTTATTTATGTTAGGGTGTGCATTTCGTCAAGTTATCGCAATGCATTCAAAACATATCTAACTTACTAGTAGACAATTTCATCAATATATGTCACAAAGAAAATCCGAAAGATCTTTGTCTAATGTAAGTAGAGAACGATTTCTTTCGAAAAATTCCATTCTTTCTAAAATGATCAATTTTGTTGGTTCAATATTTCAAAGAAGAACCGATGAAAAAAATTATTCTTTTTAACAATTGATAGCTCATACAGTTCACTACAAAAAATGTTCTTACTGTTTTCAAATCCCATGCTTTCTTTATTTTCTGCAATCATTCAACAAAATGGTAATTCCAATTGTCAATCGAAGGAGGGGAGGTAAAGGGTTAATATATATCATATCATATATAACCACGTGACTTTAATATCTCAATCATTCACGTGTGATAGTATGGTACTATTGTCTTCATTATCGTTTCTCTTGTCTCTTATATGTACACAAAAAATAAACTTTTCTCCACAAAGATAACGTATAGAAACATATAGTCGAACGACAATGTTGCTCGCATTAAATGAATCAATCAATGATACTTTTTCCCAATCGGGTTTATTTTCGATTCAGGCCATTCATTTATAACAATAGTCGGTTCAATGTAACTGTCTATTTATTTTAAAAGAATATTCATCCATCTTGCAAAAATGATTTCTCATTCTTATATTTACTTTGTGAGAAAAAAAAATTCGGCAAGAAATTTATATTTTTATTTTTGTTTATTCTGTTATCTTGTTTTTTCACAGTGCCATAACCGCTTGGAGTATATATATAAAGCATAGGAGTGAAGAGCGCGCTCATAGTACCGTTGGGTTTCAAAAAGAAAAATGTCTATAAGTCGAATTCTACTCAATCGATTTTGATAATTTGCTTTTTTTTATTGGTAGAGAGATGATCATTCACTTCTGAAAAAATCAACTTCCTATCTGCTTAAGTTTTCGAGAAATCATGACAACAATATCAAATACCTAGCTTTTCAACGGTATCTAGCCGAAGGGAAGCATTCTTTTTTAGTACAGTGAGAGGTTTTTTTCAACCTACATGCAGCTAGACTTGTAGAACTGGTCGCGAGCTTTCAGAATAGATCATTCGTTTTAGCTCTACACAAAGTTTTATGAATGGAAAATTATCAACAATAGACGTGAAGACACTTCTCCATTTTTATATAGAGCGTGACAAAAATCATCGGCTTGCAATTTCAAGAAATTTTATTGAATACGAACGAATGGGGTGGAGGAAATAATTTGACAAATAAAAGAAGTTCGTTTCATATACTTTGTTGATACAAACTATTTATAGAAAGTTCAAAAAAAGCTATATTAACACAATATGTAGAGCGATATTTTAAATTTTTCGTTATTGCTATAAATCAATGAAAACTAAGGCATTTATGACAAAAATTTGTTCTTTTTTTCATCTCATAGAGTACAGTAACATCCAAAAAAAATCTTTCTCCGTTCCAAAGAGGGTGTGGGCGTGGGTGTGTGGGTCTGGTATAGGTTTGGCTGAGTATGTGTGATGATATTCATTTCGTCTACACAACCTGTTACACCCACACCCTAGACAAAATGAATATCATCACACATACTCAGCCAAGCCTATACCACATCCACACCCACACCCAAACTCACACCCACACGCACACATCCACATCCACACCCACCTACCCGCACCCACCCACACCCTCAAGAATGCAATTGTCCTTATATATTGACTAGAACAAAGACCATATGCATTACAGTCGATTTCTTTATGTTAAAATAACTAAAATATCGATAAGCAACAGTCATTAGTGTTAGAAGAGTTCGCTATTTAAGTTATCTTTTGTGATGAATCTAAGGATTGTGAAGAAGGCAAAATCATTCTACAGATTCATTTTTTATTGAAAAAAATTCTTGAGTAGGGATCTCAGTATTAGACCAATTTTTCCTTCAGTAGGAATTCACAATTATCTAAATGTCTGATATTGATTTAATCTGGTGAAGAATCATATGACTACGAAATCTGAGAAGAATGATTGTCTTCCAATTAACGAAATGAACGTCAAAAAAAAACAAATTAGTTTTCTTACTAAACAATAAATGCATCTTCAATTTAAATAAATCATGAATCATTTTTAGATATTTTATTTAATTTAATTAAAAGACTTTATGTTCTACTAAATAACGAAATAGAATGATCATTTAATTCTAACGATAATAATATAAAGCAACTTCCATAGGGGATTGGTCAATTTCCAGATGATTTCAAAGAAGAAACTTTTCTCGAATATTTCATACTTCTAAATGATATTCTTATGATTGAGAATATTTCCTCGAAGATGATAAATATTTTCAATATCTGTACGTGTTGAAGATAAATATAAATGATTATGCCAAGTACATTTAAAAAACAGTTTTCAGCTATTTCAAATTTAGTTAATTTGCGACGCTAAAAACGATTGTCTTTTAAATATTTCAGCTCAAATAATCATAAAGATTAGCTAAATTGAGACAAGTTTTTCATGGAAGATGATCAATGAACATTGCCTAAAGAACAGAAAAAACAGCCTTTATCGATTACTTTGCATGTCCACAACTTGTTAAGCAATAATATGCAGTTTTTATAGAGCTATAATCATTTTGGTTTTTGAGCTAGTAAATAATGTTTTTCAACAGTATTTCTAACCATTTCATTAACTTTTATATCAATTTGTTGATCCATAACTAAACAAATAAATTTTTCTCTGAAATAATCCAGACGAAACCCTCTCATTGAATAAAAAAATAAGATCTCAATTTTCAATTAATTCAGCGAATGGATGAGATTCTTATTTTTTAACAAGAATTTCAATTATAGTCTCGTCTATTTGAGTATAGTCAATTGTTATAAAAAGAAATGTTTTCAAAACAATAAGAGTTCCAAATGATAATTGACTCATTTCTTTAATACTAATTTTTTAGTGAGTGTGGGTGTGATTGTCGATGTGGGGTGTGGATTTAAGTGAAGAAAGAGGCCACGTTCACCAACTAGCCCGTAACCACAGCAACACCCTCGATAAGGATGCGACTGCGAATAAGATGATGAAGTATTCATATGCACATGTCTAATTCTTATAGTTCTCCTCGTTTTTTTCTTTATTTTTCGTTATATTACCTGAGAGAAAATAGCAGAAAGTTGTTCATATAGTTTTAGCTACCTTTGCCATGCTTATAGAAGCAAACGTTTTGTGTTTATGAAAGAAAGTTTGCAATTACATACCAATAAGAGATCAAATATAAAAAAGAAAGATTAATGTTTCTGTAATATATTTGATATATACGTAGATTTTAGAATATTCTCAAAACACTGGGAAAAAGCAAAAATAAATGCTACTAAAATTTATTAAAATTCTTTATAACTAATTGATGTGCTCGTAGAAAATCCTGCTTATTAAGTCATTGCAGGTTATAGATCGTTTCTTGGGGGATAAAACAAAATATACTCAATGAGTTTCTCCATTATCATTTCAACTTCGCTGATTAATTCAAACATGAATATATATATATCTATAAGATGAGAATTTAAAAATCATATAATAATATTTAGCAAAGCATTTCTAGAGGAATCTGTCACAAGTCAACGATAATTTTTATTTACAAAGATAAATAGGATTAAAATAAAATTAAAGCATGAGAGTAGTTTTGATTTACAGACATATAAAGCGAATGTCTTCACCCATGAGACAAATATAATATTTAATGAAAAGCAATATAGACAACAACAATATTGTTCAAATTGAATTCATCTTCATAAGGTCGTTTTGAAATACACGAATCTATGAGCTAAAATAGAAATTGTATACATTTTTTATTCGATACGAATTGAATTTCAAAGCAAAAATTAGACATAAAAACATTGTCACGATAATAAATTAATATTATCTCAGTTCTTAATTGATGAGTAACGATAGAATTTACCTTAAATGTTACGATAGTGATTTCTGAAGAAGTAGATTTTTTTTTCGTTGTTAAACTTTTCTTTTGAGAAACAAGCAAGAATATTGAAATCTTTTCATACATTTGAACGTCGTATCTTGTGTATGAGTAGCAACAAAAAAATATATATATATCTGTATTAAATTTCTATATTATGGAAGATATGTAACTATATATCTAATATTAAGAACGAGTCGATCTCGTCAGAATGAATTTCAGAAAAATTTCTTCTAATCATTAACAAAAATTTTATATACAATAGACTCTCAGCGTCTCGTAACTGTGTAGAACATTATATAGTTACTGAATGCAAAACATCAGAGAAATATATCTTATATTTCCAATTTCGAATAGAAAATTTTATTCTCGCAAGATATTGCTCCTATGTTCTACGGATTTAACAATTCTAAAATAGTCAACTAGAATAGTTCATTTAGACATATGGAGAAAAAGTTTAAATAGATGCAGAAAGTTGGAAAGCATGGATATAAATGGACACAAAAGTATTGTTAAAAAACACATATTTGAATTACTTTTATCTGATACGTTGTAAATATCGTTGTATTGTAGTTCGAAAAGTAGTGAGAGAAGCATAAAGTTGTTTTTTGTAAAATTCTGATGGCAATACAAATACAAGAAATGTAACCATAGGTGGAATAAATGAAACAAAATATCCAGCAATAAATAAATATGCATCATTCGTTGATTTCATACATTGTGATATAAATGAAATAACTAAACGTGGTATTCCAAGAATAACTAATATAACAGGAGCAGTAAGTAAATGTTTGTGTTTTTGAATTTGTTGTTTTAATATTTGTTTATAAGCTCGATTAGGTCGAACATTTGATTGTTGACGAGATTTTTTTATTATGAGAATAACAGCTGATATGAGATTAATAAGAAATGGTACTAAAAAGTGAAATGTTTGCATAAAAGAGTTGAATGTTTGTAAACTCGATGGATAAGTAACAATACACCATGTTCGTTTCTCATCTTCATTTTCTTCATCAATTAAACGTCGATAAATTGGATCATAGATATTTGTACCAATCATAAATATAATTAGAACACTAATAACAATTTTAGCTATTTGTTTACTTTTCTTCTTATTAAAACCAGCAGCCATTAATGTTGTTATTGCTCGTTCTAAAGCAATGCATGCATTTAACCATTGATCCATATTAAGAAAAACTCTTAAAAGAAAATCGAGAGATATACATTGAATACGTAAAAATAGAGGATTTGATATAATTGTCATTTGTGCAAGAAGAAGTATCCAAAACTTCAATCCAAATATAATTGTTGTAAACAAAGTCGTAATCGATGAACCTAATAGATACAAACCACAACCAACTTCGCATATAGTTTTATTGTTGAACGTTATAAAAGATAAAATTCCATTGATAAATCCTGCTATCATAAAGATTATAGTTAATACTAAACTAATTTTTACAATATTTGACTGATGTCTCAAAGTGTTATTCGGTTGAATATGATAACCTAAAATAGCATCAAGTGATAGACCAAATCTTGTTGAAATAAATTGACATCGTGCTCCATAAAAACAAGGTAAACAAATACATGTTGCTCGTTGTGGACAATCGGGAGTGTCTTGAAAACATTTACCTTCATTTTCACAGACACTTTGACCAAAACAATCAAATTTCATATCATGATTAAATTTAAAACAATTAGCTAAACGTTGTTGTTGGTAATCATAGCAGAAACAAAGATGAAGATTATCATAAAAACAGGTTAGATTGGTTGACAGGTTTTGACATGGTAGATGATAATATTTAATACGACGAAGAAGATTCAGTTTAACAAATGTTTCATTGAACAATTCATTAATATGCTGACAACGATCTGACTTATTGATAATTGTTGTAGTTGTTATTGATCTTTGATAAGTTTTTTGAACGACTGCTAAATAATAAATTTTATTTTGAAGTTCAACAAAAACAATATGAAATGGCCTTGACCAATAAATTGTAAGTGAAATTTGTGTAAGAGGCATTGTTCGAAGAGTCGTTGTCCGTATCGGTGCAGCATTTCTAATAATGTTAATGAAATGAATCATTATTGTTTGAGATAAAGCAACATCGTGTTCAAATTTAATAATTAATTTGTTATCAATTAGTTCACATAGATCTCCAATATAACCTTTAGGACAGATGCATAGAAATTTTTGATTGGATTCTGTATACTCATCCATTGGTATACATTGACCACCGTTTTGACATGTTAAATTATTATTTGTTTGACAAATACTATCAATAAGCAAGCAGCAAGGACCAAATTTATTTATAGGACAAACACATATAGATCGATTGTAAGCAGATAAACCAATAGATATAGAATCAGATGAACACATACTAGTATGTGGAATAGTACAGAAGCGTCCAGACCATCCTTGATTGCATTGACAAAAAGTAACATTTTCTGGTTGATTTGAATAAATCATACATTTGCCATGAACACATTGAGATTTCGAACATCTTGGATATTTGGCATCCTTGCGTGGAATAACAGCTATTAATACTAGACGATAAACAGGTAAAAATGGAAATTTTATCGGAAATAATAAACTTCCGCGATAATTCAATGAAAATTTTTCATAAATATCAATATGTATTAGATAAGTTTTTGTTTGATTTTTTGGCCTGGTTGAATAGAGAAGATAAGCATTAAATTTAACTTTACAATCCCTTGACGATAAATAAGTGAATTGTTCATGTGAATGAATAATTCTTTCTTCACCATCATCAATAAGCGAAATAATTATTGCAAATAATGTTGACAAAGAATCTGATAATGTTTGAAATTTAATAGTCAAGCTTACTCGTTGATTTTGATATTGACATTGTTCACCATAAAAACTTGGTGGACAAAGACATGCATATGTTGTTAAGTTCTTTGTATCGTTTAACCAGACACGTAAACCTAAACCACGATGACATTCATACTCACGTTGAGGATATATTTCAAAGAATGGTGAACGTGAATTGACAGAGTTGACTTTATTTTCATTGTGATTTTCGACGACTTCTCTCGATGCATTTAACGATAAATATTTAGGTTGCTGTTTTTCCTTTCGTTGTATTTCGTAGCATAGAAAATGTCGAACATCAGAAAGCATCTCTACATACCCTGAATTACATTTTGTTGGAAACAAAGAAACATTAGATTGATTTTTTACACAGATTTTCTCATCTTCTTCATGTGTGCATTCTGTGTACCCATTACATAGTAGATTCAAATTAATGCAGGAACGGGATTTTGCAGTGCTACATAAAAAGTTTTGATACAGATCTACTTGGTAATCTCTTTGACATAATTTTGGTTCATCAGTAGCACCAAGGCAATCAATCATACCATTATTTGCTTTCGTAATAGGAAGACACATAAGTTCATGTGTGATAGGTTCAATACATATGTGATGATCTGAAGAACAATTTAGTGTTGGAGATAAATAACAACCAATTTCATCTGCGCCATTTGGACAATTCCATATTCCATCACAATGAGTATAGATATTCTTACAGGGCCATTGTTCACATTCTGTTTCATCTGTTTCATTTTTTCCATCGATATTTACTGGATATAATTCAATAAACCCATCACAAATAGTCTGAAATGAAATATCCTTTCTAACGAAGTCGACATCGAAATCTTCATCTTCACACCAATCAGGATTATGTATTGGACAATTGCAATGTCTATCTTTAACATAAGATTGATGAATGTATTTGTTGGATAGTTCACATTTGAAATGGTTTGCAAAAATGTTTGATAAGCCGGTTCTATTGACTATGGTAAAGATTTCATCATCTTGTTGAGGGCAATCAAAGTAATTATCCATGAGACGACTTTTTGAGATGCACTTCGATGAATTAATGCATTGGTAACTGTTTGGTTTATCGCAAATTGCAGAATTATGGCTACTAATTATATTGAATTTCTTCAGTTGTTGGACTAGATTATGTAAAGGTACTAGATAATACCAATGCCATGGAGTTCCAAGCATACTAAATACGGGTTTCACGTCAAAATGAAAACACGTTCTATTATTGAAAATAATGGTTGAACGATTAATAAAAAACTCATCATAATGAGAATTGGTGGGACAAATATAATTTTGTGCATGATATAACTCGGACAAAAAATATAAAGTATTGTTTGTATGTACTATGTAGATTTCACCAAAAATAAGTGGAACATTTGGAATATAAAACATATCCGGACACGTATTTTGAATGATTTTTGTACATCCTACTTGTCCACAATATCCTCCACAGCCTTGTTCTTCACAAAGCTCAAGACAAAATGATCTATTTGAATTTGGTACCTTTAATATGCATTTCGAAGCTACCCAACATTGGTCAAATGTAGAATTGTATGTTGTCGAATAGATTGCTTCTGATAGTAAATATTCGCGCTGTTCTACACAAGAACTTGTCAGGAACGTCCTCTTACATGTTTTTTCTTCACATTCAAATGACGGTTGCTGTATTGTACATTGGTAAACATGTTGAGAAAGTTCTAAAATTTCATCAGAGCCATCAACACAATCAGGAGATCCAGTATCATCTCTGAAAAATTCCCTTGGTATACATTGTCCATTATGGCATCGATATTCATTATCATTACATTCATTGATTTCAAGTTGCCAACAATGTTCTTCATCAGATCCACCATCGACACAATCTACATATCCATTACAAATGTCACTCCAATCTAAGCATGCTGAGAAAGAGCCACGATTACATTCTAAATGCGTATAACAAGTCAATTTGGTTGGTCTATATCCATATGCACGATAATAACCAACAATAATATCATACAATGACATGTAGTTTTGCTCATAAACAATCATTTCATATTGACACATAGGACCAAATCTTGGTAATGTACAATTGTAGAAAACTTGTGTTTCCATAGACTTATCATACGATGCTGATAATTGATCTAAATAAAACTGATAACGTTCAATAATATCGATTGGTGCTGACCATATGTATAATTGTTGACTAGTAATATTCTGTTGTGAAAGTTCACTAAACTTAAACTTCGGAAAGATATTATCATTTTCAATATCAAATTTCGATGGCAAATCATTCATACAATAAGTTATAATTTCACGATCCAATCTTGATGTGCCCATAAAAGCAGCAACACGCAAGCAATTATGTTGTAATACATCACTACTTTCATTTTCATTGATCAAATCCGTAAAATGAAGGTTGATTTGAGGTGTAGCAATGATGAAATGTATGAGAATAAAATAGAATAGATATTTTGTACGAAACATTATAAACTTTTGAATCTCAATGATAAATGAACATATATTAATGACTATTTATATGCTTCAGATTTAGATATCTTATCATTTTTTTTCTTTTTCTCATATTTATAAATATCATTAAGAATTGTTGATTTTATCCAAAGTCATGCTTTGATATGAATAAAACCGTTTGTTCCTGATATATTAATTTTATAATTACTAATGAATTTTCTAATAAAATTTTGAATCGTTCTCATAGTTGATGATGCTTTGTTAGCAGCTCGTTGTAGAAATTTTATTTACTACGCATTCAATATAAGCACTCACTTTTAGCAATCTATTGTCTATTTGATATATTTATTGATATGTTAAACAAAATCCATTTCAATTATCTCAATAACATAGAATATATATATATGTTATGATAATATAAAAAAATTTACAGCGACCTTCATTTAATAAAAAATTGATGAACACGAACATTATTGATTTAAAATCCTTGCATTCCTATAGAAGGGTAGGAATTCAAAATGCATTCAACAATGGTAGTACGTGCTACTTTTTAAGCAAAAAACTGGGTCGAAAATTATAATTGTTAGTATAAAAAGAAATACTTAAGTATTTACTTGAGAATAAATTTAGAAGAAGAAAAAACAATAACATGTTTCTCTTTTACTAATAATAGTTCCCTAATTTATTAACTAATGAACATATGTGTGTATTCATACTTTATCAGATCTTTGTTATTTTTTGTTCTTTCTACAAAACGGTATGGTTATGATTAAAGAAAAGATCTCCACAGGTTCTCATACTCGCATCCTATCAAGAGAACAAAAGAATCAAATAACTATTAAGACAAGTTGGAAAAATCAGTTCTGATGATGGTGTTCGTTGGTGAATAAGACCAAATACAGATATTGCCGGTTTATTACATTAAAATATAAATCTGATGTTTATCCACATCTAACTGACAAAAATATTTACTCTAAATCTCTAGATTACAATGAGTTTTATCTTTTTTTCACTTGCTTATTCAAATACTTTTCTTGTTCAGCATGATTAGATTAATTTATTTCTTTAAAATTTATTTCAGGTTATGATTAGTAGATGTACAACAGAATAGAATTAAAGTTCATAAGCTTCAAAAGAAGGCAAGAAATTCTTGAATACAAAATGTTTTAGAGAAAAACAGGATTGGTAATAATAGCACACGTATTCAGACATAATTTTTTGCACATTAAAATAGTTAGATAAAAAAAATATCTTAAGATAAAGAATCAAAATTAACAAAGCTATGAAATAATAATAATTTAATCAGAGAAAAAAGAAATACTGCACAATAATTAGGAAAAACAGGTCGACCGTATGAGTTCAGTATCATATTAAATGGTGGATCAATATTCCATCATAATTCTTATCTGTTTATCATGAAATTTGTTGATATTTTTTTCAGATAGTTTGAACGAGTGTCTATGATGTGAGGGTGGGGGTATTCTTGTCCACTTAAACTCAGACATACTTACACTCATATCCACACCCCATTAAAACTTTTGAGAGATGTACTATTTTTTTACGTTTTAACGTGTTTATTTGGCTAACGCGTTCAAACGCTTATTTTCTGCTCTTTTTGATGATGTAAAAGTCAAAATTATGTCGATTGCTAAAACATGAAAAATTGGATATTTCTCTGAAGCTGTAATGCGCTGAGTAAAAAAAGACACAACAATAAATTTACATTTTCATGTGAAATAAATTCAAATTTATTTTTAGATCTAATAAATTTTTATAAATGAAAATCAATCACATCTAGTATAATCTTCGATGTTTTTCTCACCACCTTAAGTTTAGTGCATAGTTAATGACAGCATAAAGTGTATCGCGTTACCGACTCTATAGTTTGTTGTTAGCCGACCTAAAGTCGTCTCCTGAGATGATTAAATTATTTGAGTTACACTGTGATGTGTTTTTCAAGTTTTACATAAATTGTCATTATATGGTGTATACCACTAAGCAAAATGGATTGCCAAAATCCACAGCGCTCATCAACAACTTAAAAAAGGTTTCATTTACTGTAGATAAGTAGTTTGCTTTAGTAAAATACTCTTCCAGCTTCATGTCAGATTTGTAAAGTCATCCAACTCAGAAATTATAACATAGTATTAAGTCAATAAGATGAGTTGTCCATTTTTCATAGTATCTTTTTCTTTTTTCTTGTGTCTATCGATGCTCGTAAAGAATCGATAAAACATGATAAAAAAAGACATATACTTCAAATTACCTCCACTGCTCATTTCATTCTTTTATATAAGAATAATTTATCTAACCTATTTTTATTGGAAGTGGCTATGTGCACTCGAGTGCACATAGCCGCATCTTAGTGTATTGGCTATGTACACTCGAGTGCACATAGTCGACTGGCTATGTACACTCGAGTACACATAGCCAGTCGGCTATGTGCACTCAAGTAGGTATTATCAACTAGTTACTAAATATTGAGATATATTATAGCCATATATGTACTTCATAATTAACATGAGTAAAATTTATTAATTTATTAATAATTTTACTCTATTTATTTGTTGTTAAATTCAAATAGAGTATAAAACAAGTATTAATATCAAACAAATATAAAAGAAAAAGTTAATTCAAATAAAAATCAACTCATTTATAAATATTTCTAGCGCTTGATCTCTTAGATTTTGAACGAAATGGTTGCATTTTATTATTTTCAATACATCGGACGGAAACTATATCGATGCCAGTGTTTTTCTTCTCTATTAATTGTGCCTTCTTTCTCTATTGATAATTTATAGAACGAAAGATTCTACGTTTTCTTGATTAATTAGCTTACAAAATGGGAAATTGAAAAGCATAAAATTCCAATTAGCTTTTAATCTGGAACGAGATATCCTTTTTTTAAGACCCATTGATTAATCCTCACTAAAGAATAAGAATTAAAACAAGATTATAAACTGAGATTCTTTCAAGATGAGAAAAAATAGCTGTCAAAATTAGAGATACAATCAGGAACAAATGTAAAAGAAAATTTTATCATTATTGTTTTATAAAAAGATATTTTTATATGATTAATGTTAGTTATATTGAAAATAATCAAAATACAACAATTTCCTTGAAAAATTTAAGAGAGTATGTGCTAGAAATATTTGTAAATCAGTTGATTTTTACTTGAATTAACTTTCTCTTTTATATTATTTTGATTGTAATACTTGCTTTGTATTTTATTTGAATTTAATAAAGACTAAATAAACCCCCCCCTACAATAAAAGACCCCGGGTCTTCTATTATGGTCCAGCGAACTTTTGTAAATTTTGTAAATTTTTGCTGGTGAAAAAAAGAAATTTCTATGAAGTGACTCCTCCGGAGGGGTCTTCTAAAACGGGGGGTCTTCTAATATGGGGGGGTCTTTTATTATGAGGGGGGGTTTAGAGCAAAATTGTTAATCAATTGATAAATTTTAATTATAATAATTATAAAGAACATATATGGCTATAATATAACTCAATATTTAGTAATTTTTTGATAATACCTACCTGAGTGCACATAGCCACTTCCATTTTTATTATATTCTAGTCTCCGCTTCCAGAAAAAAGTTTTCATTAATAAAAGGAAAGAAAAAAAACAATTTTTGTTGTCTGAGAAAACGCCTATGTTGTCAAAGTGTTATAATTGAAATAAAAATAAAAACGACCAAATGGTGGTGACGTAAGGATTATTGAAGACAAAAATGAAACCTTTGAAATACGTTTTACATCGTTTTCGAAGCTTGAATCTTCAAAATCTATTTCATTCGAACAATAACGTAGCGAGCAGCCCTATTGAGCATTTTCTCTGAAAAACACACCAAAACGTTATTATATCTTTGGAGAGACTTTTATCATAGATCTTTTCGTGACAAAATTATGATAAATTAATGATGTAATGGTATAAACAACTGTTTTAATGATTAGATAAAGACATTGTTGAGATCTTCTTCCTTAAAAAAAAGATGCACTTGAATGGTTAAATAAATGAAAGAGAGTTTTGATGAGTATTCATGAATACGCTGTTTCTTGTTTTTATGAATGACGAGGAATTCATGGTTGATCTATAGAGATGTTATTCCTGCTTGACAGTGATTGTCATATTATATCAACAGTAAAGAATGCATGGTTACACAAACACCAATTTTGATAATAAATGAAAGAAATAAAATGATAAATGCATTTGTTATAAATATTTTTTCTTCATTTCAGAGAATCTGTGATGATATATAAATATCGAGATGTAAATGAAAATAATACTTGCTGGGAGACATGATTAGCGAGTTATTATTTACTGTAAATTATACAATATCATCTATATTTTCCGTTATTGGCTTGGTTTTATGTTCGCTGATGATCATTATCATTGCTACACATAGGTCATGC